ATTATAGCGAAGATGCGCCCTCAGTTTTATTCGCTGGAAGGCCTCAAACCTCGTTCGTTAAGACCACTAGCTAGCAGTTTTCAATATAAAAGGTGGAGAAAGTCAAAATAATTTATGCCGACAATTTTATTCCAATTGTACTCCTCTTTTGTCCTTGGAATGGTCAAATCATTGTTGACCGTGTCACAATAAACGCATTCTTAATTATCGGATGATTCCAACACAATGTTGAGCCCCCAAACGTGATGAGCATGTAAACATGGTGAACCAACATATAAACAAAACCTACGGGYTGTAGCACATCAACCACAATCTATATCTCGATAGATTCCTAATAGAAAATCCTRGGCGTACACTTAAAACATTACATCTAAAACTCGAACACAAAACAATAACGTAAATTAATTAAAAGTGGCACTATACTCATCGCACCAAAACATTTATCAGCGCTTTTCTTTAAACTGTGCAGGTACTGTCCTTTTCTATATATCGAGTACTACTCAACATGGAAATTATTTTTGCTAAAATTGCAAACAGGCCGAAGCGCATAATAGTTTACTTTAACAATTTGTCAGTTAGTGTGTTTCTAAGTAAGTTAGATGTTCAAATGATTGGTTATTACCTATTCTTAGCAAACCTTTTAGTGGTTATGATATATCCTCCTTTTTGATATTTATTCAAGTTAGCGATAACGCCAATGGAGCCCAAGTACGCGGGCGACAAGGCTCCTACAAACCTTTAAATTTTTGATAACTTTCACAACCGTTTTTGCATCTTTAATCAAATTCCAAAGAACCTAAGGTTCTCGTTTAGTCGCATATGTAGGTTGTTAGTAGGATCTCGTGCTCACGCAATGTCCTAGTTGATATGTACGACTATAAAACTCATTGATAATCAACGTACTGTTCTAAAATGCCTCGCTTTTTTCAACAAAATGGACGATTATTCAATGAGAATACGAGTCATTAAGCATGCAAGACATTGAATTCTACATATATTTTCTTGTTTTCTTGCTTGTCCTTCTTACTCTYAACGCAATTGCAAGTTTGTTTTTGCTCTTGTAAAAGTTTTTCTTTCGCATACCTCCCGGAGACAAAAAGTTCAAAAGCTCAATTCATGAAACTTTGTCTGAGATTTTTATTGGTCGGTCCTGAGCTTAGTACTGCTATCAGTCTGTCTTCGCCCCAMGAAAACCCAGAATTACTGTTAGTACTATAGGGTGTACAAAGTAATAGTACTGACCTGTTATGTCGCACTGTCCTATCTGATGAGCAACAGCATCAACATCAGATTCCTTGGGCTACCGTTAATATATCGGCTTATTTGTCATCCTTCCATATACAAACTACAAAACCCCCTCAAATCACGTTCCTTCCTCCATTGTTGTGAACGTAAAAAGTACAATGATACCATTATGTCCTCGTTATGATCACTTTTTTGTAAAGTATGTTTTGGGACAGTAGTAAAGCATAGTTTTGGTTTCACGCTCAACATCTCCTGACAGCCGAGCGAACAACACTATTAGGACTTTGTGCATATTGGTTTTTTTGTGATCCCGTAACAAGTATAAAAAATTAACGTAGCCTGTCTCTTATTTGTCAGACAAACACACCTGTATTAATTTTAAATGAAAATGAAATCTTCTATGAAACCATATTTTGTTGTGGAGATATCGTGCGACCATCTTGCTCTTTAGCTTTGTTATTTGTGGAAGGGAACTTTTTGCAGTGAAAGAAATGAAAATAAGTGGAAAGTTTCGGTGAATTCCTTTCAGCGGTGATCTCTACATCACAGCATGTCACATAATTGCAAGCCCAAAGAGCAATGTTTTAAATCATTTGTTTGCCATAAATGATTTACAAACACCTGTCATTACGAACTTTCTGAATAAATTTACGAACGGGGAAAGTGACTAACGCGGGCTCCAGGCCGAGTAACACTACAGTCCCCCACCTACCAGAATCAAACGAATTTCTCCCGGAATAAAAAACCCTATCATTTGGACGTTAAGTACTGATCTTTGCGTGTTTTTTTTGGTAGCTCGGGCCACAATGTGTTATTGCACATTAAATARTAATGATTGTCAGTAATTTGTGTCATCCTCTTTGGGTACTGTGAATGAACAAACATCATTGTGTACCAATGGCGTTTCGTCCAAGTATATCACTTGTTGTGTAGAACTGACCACCTAGGTTTGACTGTAGCTGATCTTTTTTTCTTGCGGTGCAAAAGGCGTATTATTGAGTATTTGGTCTAACTTCTTTTTAAACAAAGAAATGAGGTTGGACTTTTATTTCTTTTTCCACGTACAATGTTTAGGCTTGCCTATATAAAATCGCCATTGAATAGTCATGTTTAGGTGATGAAACATTAATGTCGTTCAATTTCTTTTTGTTCTGAAATCACCTTTGCCTTGCAGTAATATTTAAACCGAAATTCATTTCCTAGCTGGAAAATACACCTMTAGTCTTATCATTTCATGGGGATGTAGTTAGGAGTGGGCCAAGAGCCGTGGGGAATTCCATTCAATTCAGTTTTATGTAAATTCTCTTTCATTCAAGAAAACTCCACTTTATTACATTATATAAGTCTACATGGTAATTGGAAAAGGCGACGGACATGCATGTCATTTTCTCATCCAGTCAAATCAAACTTTTCTTTAGGCGTTTTTTTACACGTCGCCTGTCAATACCAAAATGAGAATCGGACTAGAAGGCGCGCTGTTCAATTTTTACTCCTCCGTTTCCCCCGAATMAAAATARCCATTCCAATCRATCTGTTTTAAGCAGAATACACWYACGTATTCCTTACATTCCGTACTAACAGAATTTTACAACTRAAATACAAACTTCTAGAATTACAGCCGTACTCAYTCGCTYTATTTTCAATTGTTTATCGACAGGCAGAGAAAAGGGTGGCATGTTTTCATGTTGTTTTTATTTCTACTAATAAACGTTTTAAAAAAACAAACTTATTGTTTTTTCTTGACAATGAATTTCTCTTCGAATAAAACATTCCACCGCTTTGACCATCAAATGTACAATTACAGTTAGTTATGATTGGATCGCATTGATGACAACAGCTCATGAATATTTGACTCCTTGATGTATATTGGAATGAAATTTATCACCAAATCCTTCATTTATAAAGACTATTTTTTACTATTAAACTTGAAGCGTACTTCTTCCCATCCCTTTAATCAAAGATGCATACTTCTTGCACAATGGTCGATTGTTTATTGACGAATGTCATTATATTTTCACTTTAAATTAAGGAAGCCTATTTTCGTGCCTTTGTTTTCTTTATAACATAACTATATTGACGCTAAGTACTGTATATTTGTAAATCGAGTTCGCTTGGCGAAAAACTCATCGATTCATCTTCACGAATGGATGTCTTTCTTTAAATCGTTTTCCCAATTCCAGTACCCTCCCCCACGGGCTTTCGAAGGCCGTGTATCCCCTCCCCTCCCCTACTACAGACCATTTGTGACGCTTAAACACAGTATATGATAAAACGAAGAGCCAGGCAACGATGATTTGCTCTTTTTTAAGGATATCGATAAATTGTATTCAAAATGATGTTCCTTGTTCAGGAAATGAAACTGAACATTTCACTTCACCGTCACAGAGACCGTTGCCTGTTCTTGTCTCGAAGAAGCAAATGCGTGCCGACTAATATTATGGTATATTACACATTAAATCTCTTGTTTTCCTCTGTTTCCGACAAACATGTACAAACTAAATGGTCGTTTTTGTTTCAGTGAGAAACCAAAATTACTGTACTAGTAGCACTAATCAGAGTGTGTTTATAGTGGCGAAAATCTTGTGTTAGTTGAGTCGTCTAGCATCAGTAATGCTTTCTTAGTAGTGTTTGTGTCGTAAGTTAGTGTCATTATTGGAAGTGACGCTTATGTCAGTAGTGCTTGTGTTAGTAGTGCTTGTGTCATTGTTCTGTGTCGTAGTGCTGTGTAGTAGTGCTTGTGTCGTAGTGCTTGTGCCGTAGTGCTAGTGTCAGTAGTGCNTTGTTCTGTGTAGTTGTGCTTGTGTCAGTAGTAATAGTATCATTAGCATTGGTAGTAGTGCTAGTACTAGTGTGTGAAGTAGTGAATCACAAGCCTTACATCATTTAGTAATGTGTGACAATGTGTAGTGATAATGTAGGGATTGTTGTTGTGGTAGCAGTTGTGACGTACTGGTTCTAGTGTTAGTTCCATTGATAGTGTTACTAGTACAATATGTTGACTTCTTAAACCAATAATAAATCTCTCTATTAATCTATAATAAAAGATCGTCAATTCGCCACTAATAAACAGAGCACATTTACCTATATACGTACTTTCCAATCTTATATCCAAACGCAAATCGTAAAGTTACTATAATTTACATTTTGAAATAACTACAACAATTGWAATAATTTAATATTCTATGTACTACAATGATAAGACGTATGGTCAGGCTCTTTTCTACTACACGACTTTTACCTACCTTCCCGACATGCAATAGTATYTTCCCTAATGACGTCATGTGTGTTTTATCCAAGTGCATCATGGTATTGATACAAGAATCAAGATGGAGAATGTCTATAAAAAACTACGTTTGACGAAGTTTCTTTGCGAAATTTACTTCATCTATTGTCGAAAAGCTTTAGAAGAAAATTAAAATGAATGTATACAACATGTCGGAAACATGGTTTCTACTTTCGTCAATCCCATATTGCAGCTCGCCARCGTCATTAGGGTAAAAGTACCATACGATTTCATCTTTTTATAAATTGAGTGATGCATGTGTACGTATGTTAGACGCGCAAGTTGCATACGATGGTTTAGATAAAAGTGGTGCAGTTTCAAAGAGCGTCTATGGTGTCGAACACTTATTTATACTATAATTTACACTCACATCTTTGATTTCCAGGAAAAGTCATGTTTACTGGAATCCTGACGACTCCTCCTTCTCCAATTTGACACGTTTTGCTTGCAAGGTAGGATCAGAAGGATCTTGACATTCACTCTTTATCTTCGTGTACGCACATGATGCCATGGCTGAGAGYGAGTTACTYGCGTCGTATGAGATATTGGGTGAAAGACGATCAAGTCTTGGAGTGAGTCGTGGAGAGTCCCCATTCATCGAGCCGGTTTCACCCATCATATCTGAGAAGTCAAGTGTTTTAGGCAGTGGAACCTTCCCCCCGTCTGAGCTWGATGGCGATGGCGCACCTTGGACACAGTCCAGTTTAGTTGTCGTTTCCCTCTGCCTAGATATTCGCTCACTGAGTAACATTAGTTGCCTACTGGCAGGGAAGCGTTCAACCCCCCCTGTACTACCAATTCCAAGCTTTGCATCTAAGCGATGTGATGCCAGATCACTACCAGGATAGAATACATCAGGRGGAGTTATGCCAGTCGCYGACTCRGTTTTACTCGACGCAGCTTTCAACCAATGATCTGCAGCCTCTATTGCACTGGCCGCGTCTGCAAGCGGTGCAGCCAGTATGTCGTCCGTGTTAGCTGTTGTTTGGCTAGTGGTGCCGGTCAGACTTGACGAGACGGGCTGAAAACTAGTTACGTTCACCATTGTTGGTCGATCATAGTCAGCAATGGAGTCTTCGTTATCTTCACCGTTGTCGGCGAGTTGCTGTGGTGAACTACTATTAGCATTAACACCTTCTAGTGAMACACTAGAGCTGCGACGTGAACCATCTATAGTCGATGTCTGCTTTGGGCATGAYTCAGCTGATGAAGACGCTCTTTCACGACCATCCGGKGTTCGACCCTCGATTCTAGCGTTCAGTTCATCAATRTAGCCATCACTTCTTGTAAGAGCTTTCTTTAACTGTTGTATTTCTTTTTCATACTGAGATATCTTKGTCTGCATGGCGGCCATGCTGTAGTGACTGAACCTGCAAGATACGTACACTACACTGTWATTTTCAAGTAGTTGATATAAATCCAAAAGACTATAGAATAAAAAGTACAAGAAAACTCTTTTTCTGGAATTAACTTCAGCAGATTTACCTGCACCTACGGAAGTACTTTAGACTCCTCTTTTAAGAGCAATTTTGGACCCCCTTTGGARTTATTTTGACAAATCTTTTKGAGATGGTTTTTWAAAACCTTTTGGAGTAAAAGCCTATCGAATTTTAATTCTCTTTTAYAGTTGCTCCGCACAAGGTAGAGTAATTTTAATTCCATTGGTGGAGGAATTTCAACTCCTTGAAAATAACAGTGTTTGAATGCTGAGGCCGAAGATGAGCAGCCATACGAACGATACACCACGAACATAAAGTTTGATTCTCTTTCACCCATTCATCTATTACAACAGCGGATTTTAGAGATAAGGTGATYTCGGTCATTCAGCACTTCATTCTATAATTCTAACGCCGACTTGTCGTATATAATGTTATTGATTACAACAAGTATCAACCAGGCCATCAGAGTAACTAGAAGGGGAATCAAGCAATGTAGGAAGCGGTCGTACCTTTGAGGTGATTTAGCAAACGAGGACTCATCTTTTAATCTTCCYACTTCCCTTACTAAGTTGTCGTTTTCATCTTGTAATCTCTTATTGTCCTGGCCAAGAAAACGTTACTCATTAGTTAATTAGTTGATGAAAAATTAAGATAAAAGTATTAARACGGACGTTTTTGATTCATTATCGTTACTTGGTCACTGTCACACCCAGGGAGCGACAGGGGGTGGGGTGGGGGGAGCTTACCTAAAGAGGCAAACAAAACATGTTAAAAAATAGTATCTCAAATAGGATAATATAAAACATTTTTAGGGTTGGGCTTCTTRATTGTGATTTTTATATGCTTATGGGATAAAAGAAAAAGAAATATTGTTGTTCATTTTAATCCTAAAAAAGACCACAAAACTCAACCAATTACAAAGGGCATTCAGCCAATCTTAGGGTAACCAAAACACATAATTCAACCCTTGGCTCTTGCTATAGAGGCCATCAAGGGGGTTCCAAGCTTTAGATAAGTGTTACCAAAAACCACACATTATTTCTTATTTATTGAAGATTTGAAAAAAAAATGAGTGAGAATTCAACCACATAGACTCAAACTTGAAAATAACACTAATTGTAGTACGGTCTTTCATGTGGCAGGCTTTAGGTTTAAATAAGTGGGATTTTTCATGCTAGTTCCCAGTCTCCTTTTGAATTTCGTAAGGGCCAATATGGATTATGGGATACATGCATGTATGTAAGATATAGTRCTCTTACCTGGCTTGTCTTCTGCATATCAGCTTTCAGTTGTTCATATGTAACACTTGCTTCTTGTAGCTTTGAGGTTAGTTTGAGTAGCATGTCTAGGTCAGGTGTAGGTGGTTTAGAGCCACCRCCATCTTTACCTTGATGGTTTATCGATAGATGTAATGCTGATATGGTTTTATCTTGTTCTGATAGTCTTTCATGAAGTCTTTTGTTCTCTACYTTGAGTCTTTCAATAGTATTGTGTAAAGCTGCCAGGTCATCCTATATCATACATAACAAATCAGTCACTATTAAAAACCTGTTACTCCTTTAAGTTAAAGAACCATGTGGATCTAAAAACCTCTGCAATTGCTTCTTTCTTTTTTTTCACAAATGATCCTTTATTTAAAGRTGCTTTCTGATTGGTTCAAAATCAAAGATAGCAAATTTGGAACAACACTGTCAGTATTGAACATGGGTAATAAAGTGGCAGCGGAGTTTTCTCCGTGGCTCATAAAAATTAAAAATGTTCTTGTCAGCTTAATGAACAAAACACAATTTCTTTTTTCAAAATCAATGAAATAGAGGATATTACATGGGCATCTGGAGCTACCAATTTTATCTTCGAGTGTTGAAAAAACTCTCATGAGTGACGAAATTTGTATCTCCAAGCAACCATGTAATATTCCGTTTATCATTTATGTATACGTAATTATCTTAAAGCAAAAGATGTTTTAAACTAACTTTTATTTACCTCCAATATATAGAGTTACAGTACCAAGAAGATGTTATTTTCACTAGTGAAAATAACAACTTTACATAATGGAGAAATACGTATACTAGGTATTTTATAAATAATAATATCAATAAAAGCCCACAAGAACAGCGCAGCGCCACATAAATCAGCATGATTAGTCTTTTTGTTTTCAGAGATCAAAGAATTGGCCCAATAATACATGCACCTTTTAGATTTTGGACTTTCTGTTTAGGTTTTGGCATTCCTGTTTTATTGCCTGGGGACAAATGATGCAAGAGGTCGCCCAGGGGAAAGTTGCCAAGTCTTCCTCTTTCCTTTCTTCCTCGTCGCCCCTCCCCCTCAGTTGAAAATTTTCATACCCTATGCCTCCTTGATCTCAAAACAGAAAGTCTATCCTCAAAAATAACAGGAGTTACACAGGACTTTGATAACTTCTGCTGAAGCAGTCATCACCAAGTCATTTGCTTCAGTTCTAAATACAGAGATACATGTATGCACATGCATAATTGAGGGCTAATAAATTCCGAAGGGTGGTAATTATTAAAGTAGCACTATTACTGGGGGATTTAGCATAGTGTGACGTCGGTAACAGCTGTGAGGGGGGACCACAAGCATTGTCACAACCARAGCTTTACCTTCCAACCACACAATGTAGGATAGAAAGAAGTGTAGGGAAGACACAGCTACAGTTTAATGAGATAAGCTATGACGACATAACCATTTTCAGATGGAGGAACAAAGATAAGATTATTCAGATTATTATTTTTAGATCATGAGTCATGGCCAGACTAGGGCTTGGACTTTGGCCTCACACGTGAAGTACCTCACACCAACACTACTAATTGAGTCAATTAGAGCGTGGTACATGGCTAAGTACACATCCTACTTATTACTAGAGATGTTGCCAAATATATTATACATACAATGATACAATCATATATTCCTTTGTACAGCCATAAATCATGCTGTATTTTGTAATGAAAAAAATGGTAATGTTGAATGAAATATTTATATTATATGCCATACGAATCTACAGTATTGAGTGATGAAAGGCAGGATTTCTGCTGCACTACTGAAGGTGACAAGGCATAACACATTTGAGTAATTTTTAAGGTGCTTTTACTTTTTACAGATTTGATTAAGCAAATGTGGCTTACTAGTGACCAAATAATTACATTAAATTATGTATAAAACTCTTTGTAACAATGCAATTTTAGAATTATAGCAATGTAAATCCATCCCATTTCCTCTATGAATCCTATTCCATCTTGTTCTATTCTGTTCAATACATATTAGCTTGAACAGGTAACTTATGAATATAAACTTTATCAGAAAAAAACATCTGTCAAAAATACTATTAGCATAATTAGACACAATATTTCTTTTCCAGTCTGTATAATGAATAATTTTAATCACAAAATCAAAAAACAAGTTAGATTTACTTAAAAAATTATAAGAACAATAAGCTTGAACATTGTGAATAACAATATTATTTCATTAGTAAAACTACACACGCATTTTTAATACCTGAGCAAAGGTCATTTGTTAAGCAGAATTATTTTTATACTCACCTCATATTCCTTCCTTATAAGTTCAAGTCTAGTTCTCCGAAGCTCAGCTTTTGTGACTGAGTCTGAGTTCACTTGTAGATCAATACTTCCTAGAAATATTGAAAGAAGTGTACAGTCATTGTATGAATTACACATTTAGCGCTGTCATTATGGGTAAGGTCATTGCAAGTCAAACTAGCCATGCATAGAATAACCAAATGATCACGACCACTTGCCATCTCTCTGAACCAAGTTGAAAATGCCACAGATGATTGATACAGTGTCTAATATATCAACTCTAACTGAGACATATTCCCTTCAAAACAAGAAATGAATATTTTTGTTCCCACCACAACTCTCTACAGAAGTTTCCATGTATTTCTACAGATTAAATCTCAAAATAATGAAAGAGAAATCATCAAAGTGAATTGTATAAAACAATACTAGGTCTGTATGTCTCTTCTTATCAGATATAATTACATTTCAGGACTTTATAAGATGAGAAAATTAACACATGTTCATCACAACTACAGTAGGCTTGAACCCTTCAAATCAGAGCATCGCAAGCCATGCAGAACGTCAATTGTCTACATCTTGCGCGATATAAATTACATTAAGGTCAGTCGAATCATTTTTCTCACCCATTGCCAAAGACATCCCTGCTTTCATGCTCAGAATTACATTTGACCAAAACAAGACAGAAAAGGACAGCGAAAAGAGGGTCACTTAGCTCAAAGTAAATCCAGACACACAACAAAGACTGGCATGCATAGAATTAGCGTTTCAGACGCTGTGATGACCCCTATGTCAAACCAATCACGCGCACTATGTCACTGTCACAGGCCATCAACGAAACGTCGAAAGGTTCTTGAGCGTCGTGCCCTTACTGACTTCGTGACAGTGGGTTGTACGACGTCCTTCGTTTTTCTTAGGCTAACTTTCTCTTATTCCTTGATTTTATCCCGATTACTACCTTAGTCTCTTCCTGGACAATCTCGGATTAAATATCGTGTTGCCTTAAATGAATGAAAAAGACCCGGGAATCGAGGATGTCGGAAGACAAAAGAGCAAACGGGACTCCTACACTTGACGCAAACTCAATTGAATCGAAAAAGAGCGGCAATCCCGCGTTAAATCGATGTATGATTAACAAATGCAAATAAACAAATAGGTACTGACCTAAAATCTTCTTGCAAGGTTGTTCGTGGTTAATCGGTGTCCTACATGTCGGGCAATAACGGTTTGTTCGGAGCCATAGATCAAGACAAGGAGAGCAAAATACATGTTGGTTCGGACAAACTACCGGTTCCTTAACCTAGAAAAACATGCCCAATAACATTAGGTTTACAAACTAGAGACCAGGTAAAATCATTACGCATTGATTAGTATAAAGAATGTACCTTTCCTAAGCAGATCTGGCAGGAAATCGGTAAAGTTAATGACAATGAAGTATTAGTTACTCTGTTGGCAGACATCTTTGCCAGAACATGCGACTGCAGTTATAACAAGTCAGCAACAGTATCAACAAATAAATCTAGCCAACGTCATGCGCACTAGGGGCTAGCAATCCAAGATGGCGGACAGTTTTGTGGATTCTTGGCCTTGTATTACTATTTTTGCTTCTCTCCTAAAGCTGCTATTTCTTCATGCATAGTAAGACTATTCTTTAGAATTAATCTCTGCATTTATTCTATGCATTTATGAATTTTATAATTATATTTTTGAAATCCACATCACGAGACTTCTCAAAGGGGTTTTGAAATGTTCCCTTCCCTTAACTGTTTGTCATTTTATTTCAGTCGCTCTACTGACTTTGAAGTCCATAGGAATTGGCTAGCGATAACGTACAGCCTTCCGATAGACAAATGGTACTACGAGGTGAGTTAGAATTGTTTTTTGTTCGTGTTTCTGTTGATTCTATTCTTGTTGTTATTGATTGTTATTGCTGTTGTTGTTGTCTTGAAATATCAGCCTTTGACTGGACTGTGAATTATTTTGAGGTCAATCAATTGAGATCAATCAATCAGTCACACAGACAATCAACTGTTGATGTRAGACAAGAMWGTTCAAAATCTTGATATCAATCAATCAATCATTCAATCAACTCATTGATCAATTGATCTTTTACTCAATCAAATTATTAATAATSATTCAATGAACAGAAACAAGCTACAAACAAACAAACAAAATCAAACTGTTTTCATGATTTTAGGTGATTTTCCATGTGCAGAGCCTGTACAATGTATATTATTGTTTTCTACCCTTTTTCCAGAAAACCTCAGAGTTTACTCTCGACTATCCGCCTTTATTTGCATGGTTTGAATTCATCATGTCACAAGTTGCAGTATACGTCGACCCAAAGATGGTAGTAATAAGCAGAAACAAATATGCAAGCACTAAAACCATTGTATTTCAAAGGGTTTCAGTCATTGTAACTGACCTTGTATTTATATATGCAGTTAAAGAGTGAGTACAAATGTGAAATATTTTATTACTTAGTTATGTTTAAAATAGACTGATTTGAAAGATAGTGGACACTATACAGTGCTTCAAAGGTTCCAAAATTTACTGTACAAAAAAGAGGAATTCATTGTAAAGCTCATATTCTTTGTAAATTTTTATAACTTTACAGTTCTGTACATTTGCATCTTCTCAACTTTTCCACAAGAGGTGGATATGAGTTTTCATATTACCAAATTTGGTCACTTTTTAGTACAGATTTTCCCTATTTTTAATGGCAGATTTGCAAATTGCTCAAAACATAAAATTTGTGAAGTTTAGGAACTCCTGGATTTAGGCCTTTTTTTGCGTATTCGAATAATTATTCTCTGCAGAGTTTTATTATTTTATTATTAATACAAATTTGTATTGTTCCAGATTCTGTACATATCTACATAAAGCCAAAAAGGTTTCTTTCCCACCATCTAATAAAATTATTCTGGCACTGCTCCTTGTGTTCAACTTTGGTTTATTGATTGTGGATCGTATCCTTTTATTATCTGGAGTTATTGATTTATATACTCACACTATACTTACTGGCTTGCTAATTTTTAAATTTTAATTAAAAAAATTGTTGAAGGGATTTTTTTCAATGCTATAGTATGTTCTCGTAGACAGCTAGACTGTACTATGAGGGCACACTCCTTTACCTGCTACAGTCCTCTTWAGTTGACTTCCAACTAAAGTGATTAAATRCAATTTTAATTCAGCTTTAATCACTATGCTAGTGTGGTCAAGGGTTAGAAAAGGTATGCCRCCCTTTGGGATAATTGATAAATGATTTTATGGCTTAAGAAGCTCATGTCGAAGAAGTTGACAGTTTATTCTTCTTTAAAGATAAGTTTGAGTATTTTTATGCACTAGTCTAGTTTGTAAATGTGTTTTTTGTGTTTTTTTTTATTAAAATGTTTGCTGTGTATTACAGTAAGTTATTCGTGTGTAGAAACCATAAGGTTACTAGACATCTGGTTGATCTGTATGTCAGGGTCAGTAGGCCTGAAACATTGCATGCAGAGTGCCAGCATCCTGAAAGATGATCTGTTGAGTAACGGAATGGTAAAGAAACTACTACTAAACTTAGTTTAGCCTGGTATATCTGTGAGCATTSWYAGATATCACTCAATRCTTAAAACTGTTGAGCATCCAGAATTTTGTGGACAATAAACTTGATATTGCTTGCTGTGACAAATTCAGCACTTGATACTCTTACTCAGTGACTGTTAATTAATGTTTTTAAGGGCCATTAGGTTGTAAAATGCCGAGTATCTTACTTTCATATTTATGCATTGATAATACTGTAGTATTTATAATGGACATTTATAATATCCATAATTAATTTATTTTTGATAATGAAAAATTGACCTTTAGTTGTAAACTTTAACATAAAAAATCCAAGTAACTCTTTCTTTTTACTATCATAAAAGCACATGTGTTATTTGACCCTTAGTCGTTGAAAGTAATAAGGTTGTCAGTGATCAAGTGAACAATATACTGTTCATGCATTAGCAYTGTAYATTAGTGAAGCATCCATCTCCAATAAGCTAACAAGCCTTGTCTTTAATGCACAATTTTACTGCAATGAAAGTTTGTAGCAGTTTCACCTTGACATTGTCTAGACATTCACTTTCAATACAATGGTTTCTTGTTTGGCATACTCTTGCTCTCCATCACTAGGTTATCAGAGGTCAGCTATTCTTATAATCTTTACCTTTAGGGTTATCAGATATCTGGTAAATTATCAACACAATACTATGTATCATATGAACAATTGAGGCTTTATGAACCCACCCTCTTCCTCAGGCAACCCAGCCAGRTTTTTACAWTCCYCTCCCTGTCCCATTTTGCCACAGGAAGCCCACACTCAAGAAAGCCTATAAAGGACACTAATATGAACTGTTTTGATGTTTTAGGGGAAGAATCTTGAGGGTGCTTTTCTGTTTGCAATACTCCTGAATTTCAAACACATTTTTCTATACATCGCTCCTGCTTACTTTGTATATTTGCTGCGTACATAYTGCTTTGTAACAAGTAGTGGAAATCCAGGTTTGCACTTTTATTTGTTATTTTAATTTGATTTTTATAGTGTTTTGCAAAATCCTGAAAATTTTAACATGTTTTAACAATGACCATATATACATATATCAGGTGCATTGTGGGTAATTCTCACTGAAAAGTAGTGGTGACTATTGAGCAGTTTTTACCTATCATGATAGCATCACAATAAATTTTCAAACTATTKCAATAATATTGCGATAGAGCTAAATATTGTGATTATATTGCGATAGTATTGTATGGCGTGAGTAAATCAATATTTCAAAAGAGATTTATTGTTGTACTTGAACAGGACATGGATTAAATACATGGATTGCACCCGCATATAGTAATACTGCAGTTTAGTTACCAGAAAGTCGCATTTGAATAGCGACTTTGTTTTCATGTTCTGATGTGCACTTTTTTTATAAATAATTACCCGCTGACAACTTTAATTTTACTTAAAATCTTTTAAACAATAATAGTGTTTATTGATTGAAAACAGAAAGGCRTGGATTCCTTCTTGGCGTAAGTCTATGGGATTTCTCACCAGTTAGATTGTTGAGGCTTGGCTTCTTTGTTATCTCTGCTTTCCTTGTATCATTTGGRCCTTTCATTGCACTTGTAAGTTTATRWGTYAATGTTTGCTYTATTTTCTTCTCCCAAACATGTCAGTGTTTTATTAATATCAGAATTGTGGTTTGTTTCAGCAACKTTTACATTTGACAATCATTTTAACACACTTTTGAACTTTAATACATGTAAGCTTTCATTGACATGGTATCAATGACAATTTACAGATAAAGGTATTAACAACAATTTACAGATAATCAGAAATAATGAATCCATTGAAGCAATGGTTAGGATTATTGTAATGTTTTACTGACTCTCTAATTGCATTCATCAATATTGATAATTTACTTTGAGAGGGTATTTTTATTTGGTTGTCTGTGTTTCTAATTATTATACYYAAAAGGTCATGTCGTTTGTCTTTKTTCTTAGGGTCAACTACCACAAGTGCTATCCAGACTATTCCCTTTTAAAAGAGGTCTTTGTCATTCATACTGGGCACCTAACATGTGGGCTCTTTATAATGTATTTGATAAAGCATTATTTATAGTAGGTATGTCAGAGGAAATCTAACTATTACCCTGGAATTCACTGTTGAATTCCTATGAATGATTTCACAATTCTTTATATTTTACATGGACTTTATAATGGTTCTAAATACATTTATTTTTTTTTATTTTTAGGTAGTAAGCTTGAGTTAATACCTCATTCCAACATATCTACCAAAGCGTCCATGACAGGGGGTCTGGTGAGGCAAACACAACACCTTGTGTTGCCATCTGTCCCACCACTGGCTACAGTTCTATTAACACTGTTATCAATCCTGGTAAGTCTTTACAGTGCAAACCTTAAAAGGGCTAAAAATTGCTTTGATCCCATTATATTGCTATATTTTAAAGAATATGCTTCACTTAGAAGCTGTGTAAAATCCTACAWGTAGTAAGTTCCAATAAAAACCCAAAGAGATTTGAATTAATGAAGAAATATATGTCTTGGAGTAGTCAAAATGGTGGGAACTAATGGTAAACTAGTGTGAGCTGTGTCAGTGTTTCTAAAGTTTTGAAAAAAGATAAATTTAACACYGTAAAAAAGTAGGTGAAATAACTTTGTCAGAGGAAGGATTAACGTCCAAAACGTCAGTAAGACAGTTATTTCATCTACTGTTTTTACAGTGTTAAATTCATCTTTTTACAAAACTATGTCTTGGAGTATACATGTAAGCCATAGCCCCAAAACATACATTTTAGTGAGGGACATTTTGGCAAAGGGTCTACTCACCTGTTAGCTTGATTGCTGAGCTAAAATATTGCTCTGTTCTATTGCATACAATTGATTTAAGTGTTAGGTCATAGGTCATGATATAGTTTTAGGTTATATATGTATGGTGCGCAATTTAACCAACAGCTACAATTTTTCTAATAAAGTACCTAATTATCTGTCTATCTTTAGAATTATTCAGTTGTAGCTATGAACAAAATGAATTTACTGTAGCTAATTTTCTCTATTGCTTATTAGCCTGCTATGGTTGGTACTTGGTTTAAACCTAGAGGTCCCATGGGATTCTTACAGTGTCTAGTGTTATGCGGCTATGGCTCATTTCTCTTTGGGTGGCATGTCCATGAAAAGGCTATCATCATGATAATCATTCCCTTGTGGTAAGTTAAGGCATTTTTCCTCAGTWGTGTTTGCTCTGYGATAAATGTTTGARATTATTTCATCTTTTTACAGCTTACTGGCAGTGCAGAACAAGTCAGATGCTCGTGTTTTTTTAATTCTATCAACAGCAGGRCATTTTTCTCTGTTTCCTTTGCTATATAAACCTCAAGGTACAGCACAATCAACCATAACCTCCTCTGCAKCCTTCTGTTATTTCTGTCTTTGGGGTTGCTTTRTGACAGTTTTAATKARAGAGGAAGATAACTGAGAATTCTCCAAATTTCACACTACAAAACCYAAGAACAGAGTAATAGAGTGCTGCCTGCRGGGRAGGGAAGATTAAAATTGAGTTCAATGAAAATAAGTCCTTATAAATAGCAATGACATTCAGCAATAACATCAACAAAAGTTTAGCAATGAAAGCAAAAAATTGAATTGGAACTTTGTTRTTTTCCAGAAATGCCCATCAAAATCTGTCTCATGATGATGTACACTATCTTGGCATTTTATTCCCTTTGTCTTGTTCATTGGTGAGTTGTCTGTCTGTCTTATATTATCGTTCATGATTGTGATGGGGCCTCTTATAGGCTGTCGATTACTGATCTGTGATTGGCTAATTGTATAACTGTAACAGTAACATAATTCCAAGAAAGAAAAAATGAAGGATTATTGGCGATTTTGAAAGAAAAGGATTTTAATCTTAAAAGTTATTACTAAGTAAAAAGAGGATATTATAGGGGCTTATGCGGTATTCTTTCGGCATAAAAACTTCAAGCAATACAAATATATGACTCATTTATATCTATTAAAAACWATTGYKGGAAAAYATTTGTTTTGGAATTATCCCACATCAGAGAAATTTTGATTCAAAAGATGGAAGAACAAAAGGATTGAGTAGATGACGTCATCTACTCCAACATTTTTTGCATAAATTATTAAGGATTTGCATGAATATTGGCTTGAAATCTGTTGCTTCATGATTATTACACCCATATGGATAGGTGTATTTGATTCCCAAGTCTTTTCTAATGTTTCGCAATTTTCGTCCAAGTAGCCCTTTAAATGTTTAATTTTTCGAGTAGCAAATTCATTTTTATGTAACAATATTYCTGCGTAGTTTCACGTCTTTTATGCATAACCATTTTCAAGAAATCAAGATAATGATTTTGGCATTAAGCCATGTGGGTTAGCATCAGAAATCATGTACGAGCATGCGCTATAAATGYAGCTCTGTTCAGTGGTGTGGTATCATTACCTATTATTACACAAGGGCCTGCGTTACAACTCTCGTTTCCCGCGTAAAGCCATACGGTCCATTGAGGCCCGTTATTGACGTATTACGCAAGGTCTTACGTAAAGATTATTATGTAATTTCAGTGGCAAGTCATCTGGGTCGTCTTCCTATAAAGACATCTTTACTCTACCTATAATTTCGTCCTTTGAAGCAGTATACATCTGTGGACTTGCAGTACTAGAATTCTATAACTCTATCATTCATCCTTTCACTTCACTTGCATCTAGACTTCCCTTTCTTCCCCTTTTACTAACATCAGTCTACTGTTCTTTGGGCGTGGTCTGGTCCTGGTTACTCTTCTATAGAAACKTTTTTAGTTATAGTGAAATTACGCTTGTCAAACAGACTTCGGTCGATATCAAGAAAAAGCCCAAGAAACACTAAAAATTATATTAAAATTAAATCATTATTAAAAACCTATTTCTAAACTCTGTAAGTTGCATGACTTTTCTTTCGAAAATTAATTGGTTTAGGAGTAGATGACTAGTAGAACTGGGCTGCCTTTGACTGCGTTGTTGTGTCTAATAGTTATCATAAAAATCCATTAAGCCGCAAATAGAGAAAGCGTGCGGCGTTTCGGATGTAGATCCCGCATCGTCGAAGTGCAAGAGCAATCGATCAGTTGATTGGTTTATTAATGAGTTTTTGAACGATAGATTGCTTGACTGGGCATAAAGTGAATCTGCATTACCGTTTAATAGACATTTTTGACTAACAATTGATGGCTAAATGATTCTTAGACTATTGCTAAGAAACTTATACTCTACTAAGCAAAACATTCTTGATTAACGAAAAGATTTATTATTCCACTATTCACTAAATGTGGTCCGGTGCTAGACTTATGATTCAGCTCTAATAAATCTTGTTTTGTTGTTTTTATCCATTAAAGTAAAAGCACAGTAAGACCACTAACGTCACTACTTACGTCAGTCGATGTTGGACCAGGGTTACTATAGTGACCGATATTTGTTTTTTTGTTTTCTTTCAGTTTGATTTTCTCTTGCAATTAATGTATTCATCTAATAAAAMTGTTCCTATATTAACACTTTTTTAGTGTTTTGTTCCTATTGGCAATTTCAATTGATATTTAGTGCCTTTTATGGCATCTTGTAATTGTACTTGAATGGGAAAATGGACAGTTGTTTGCCATTAAAAGAAAACCAAATCGGAAGAAGAACCTATCAAATCATCATGATAAGTGTCGCAAATGCTGAGTGGTTTCTAATTATCGCGTAAAAATCCCTAATGAATATGGTAATGATAGTAGAAATAGCCTGGGGAAACTTGTCAATGATGGCGGGAATATTCAATAATGATAGGTGAAAGTTTATTTGCTTTTGGCGAAACGGAATGATGACATGATTACGTATTCCTTGTATCACACTATTGTTTATTTTTGAATCATTAGACTACCATATTATAAATCTATTATCATTTAATATTAGAGTGAAGGCATTGATCCTGTGAAATAAAAGTTAATAATTAAACTGTAATAGTCAAATAGACACAAAAGAAAACAATGGAATTATCGAGTAATAACATGTAATAGTCAAATATGTATTTCACGGGTTCATTGACTTCACTCTATCGTGAATAACCATTAAAATATTATTATGCACTATTAGTGGGCTATATTAGGATCATGAATCATAAATAATTACTTTTAGTAAATATAATAATAGTCATTAATAGTCATTAATAATCATTAATAATCTTAATCATCACATATTTCTTGCTTCTTTTTGGCGCCATAGCAAAATAATATCAATTATTTAATGATAGCAAAAATCAATAAAAAAAGGGGTGAAAGCAGAAACACTTTTAATGTAACAGGTCCCTTTTATTTTCAAAACGTTTAGTTCTTAAGTAAGATTTAACTGGAAGTCGTCTTTCCATGTCATATTTGACTAACTTGACAGCCGGCACTTGGAATATTTACATACAGTATTGATAACGCGTAAACGTTTCTGGTTGCCATAGCTACCTCTATATTCTAATTATAGATTCTGGATGCATTTAGCGATCTATTTAGTTGCGATGAATGTTTGACCCCTCTACGTGCGTAACCTGTAAGTCGATCACTTGATAAGTTAGTTTTCAACCAGCTACAGACATATCGGTTTGTACGTGTGTTAAGAAGCTTTGGACAGAGTGGTGGATCTGTCATTACGCCCGATTATTGCTTATAAATATTTCAAATACAAAGTCAGTGTGGACGTCTTTTGCCAGCCCTTTCATTATTTACCTGTTCAAGTAAGCAAAATGTTTTTTTATCGACTTCTCAAGAACAATTAAAGCTGAAATCTCGAAATATAAACGGGAAAACATTACAATGTCGAACATGGAAGAGTTGATGGATTTGACTGTACTAGTCACGTAACGTAACATTTGTGGAGGATGGGTTGTGGGACTTCGTCTTCATCTCCAACAACGACTGAATATTCTACACTCAACGAATCATCGAAGCATAATAAGCCCCACCAAACAAGTAAGTAACCATAAGGCTCGCTTACAGCTCAGCTGTAACAATTATTGCTATGTTTTTACTGTTGATATTTTACTACACTGCTTCATAGCTCAATTTCACTCCGCTGTCTTGATTCAAAACTGGTTTCGCCGTTACCAAGCGAGGCTGGAAGCAAGACGAAGATGCACATGGAAGATTTTTCAGAGTATCGAATATTCAGGAGAGCAGGACCAACTCAAGGTACGTGATAGTATTCGAACAACGGCTCTAACCTTTACTGCTTTGACACAGTATGATCCCGGAAACCGTATGTRAAAAACAAGAAAATATCTAAAATAATTGATAATTTATACGGACTTTGTTTTGTTTTCCACTAAGAATACATTGTTCTTTTTGTACATTCATTGAAAACTCGGTTAATTTAAAGATGAAATTTGATATTATCTTCACCATGAAGAAATTCAATTTCAGGTGCACGATTTTGTTGTGAGATCGTGCCGTAATCCTCATGGGGCTTTTSAGAATAAAGACGAAAATCTTTGAATATTGATTCTTGAACGCCACTAAACAATTAATACTAATACACTTATTACTTCTTGTATTGCTCTTTATCCTGGCATTCTTATTTGTCAGTTTGTCTGGTTTTGGCATTTTTACTAAATGGCCGGATAAAAGATTGTATACAACCCTCGAAAACTGAATTTTAAATCATGTTTGAAATTAAATAACGTACCAAGAGAAAGTCTCTCTTGGCAACGCTGATAGAGTGTTTGTTTTCGATGTTTTTTATCGCGTTGTTATATCGTAAGAAAATCCGAGGACAATAAGAATATTTGACTACAGACAAAAGTGAAAATCGCTTTACTGTGACAGAAAGGTTTTCCCAATTAATTAACTTAATCTTTTTGATTTTCTATCGATAGTGAGGACTACTTTTATTTATAAAGACCCTGTGTTTACCTATTTAATTCTTGTTTGCCAAACGTTAGAATAAAAAAAGCACAATGCGAGTGGAAATGGCTACCGAAAGAAASCCTTTAAGAAGACATTGTTTTTAAGCTAATGGCGTCGTGCTCTGCAGGACAAAGTAGAGGTGGTCTGAATATCAAACCTTTGCTGTTTATGGCAAGAATTGTCGATTTTATTGCTCAAAATAGAAATGCGTCTGGAAAAGGTCGAACACAGCGCGTTGTTGATGGAACTGTCATYTWTTTTTCCACCATGAMAATGAAAATACTAAACGGAAGTCTTATATTGATTTTTATGGCATTTGAAAACATCTTGTATCGTTTTAATTTAACATTGAGTGGGAAATATAACCCCTCAGTGCTGAGCAGGAGATTTGTGCTCTATTTTGRTATAAATATGCAATTAGATATTTTTAGATTGTTTAAAATTATATATTTTCAGTTTTTTAGCGATGTTTTTTAATGTACTGGTATAGATTGATTTGCGTCGAATTTTCTCGAATATGTGAAAAAATATATTTGTGATAATTGTTATAGAATCCAAAGTTGTCTATGATATATTAATTTCGAAATAAAAACAGCAGTAAAGTGACAGACTGCCCTAGGGATGCGGCGCAATAAATAAAAAAATCATAATCACACAGAGAACTCATAACCTATTTATTGTTTATTTTTCTTTATAGCTTTTAAACTTCTTCACAGATATGATGTCTCATATACCTACCGATAATCCAGGTAAAAATGGAAATACACCTCAATAAAAAAGGCTTAAGAATCGTCCTTTAAGGGCCATTATGCATGTTAAGATCCTGTAAAAACCACTTATCTCAAACCGAACACATTTTCTCGATAAATGTGACGAACGGCAAGGATAACATCAACAATTTTCTATCCAAGAAAATCCACTCTCCTATTCTGGATCAATTTGTTTTATCTATTCCTTCTAGGGAAATTACCAAACCGGCTTCACTGGGGCATTGAGCGCAACATTGCCATAAGTGTGGGRGTGAATTTGAGTAGAATGGCTTTTTATAATTCACCTGTTTAATGAAAGTTTTTGATGGTTCTAGAGGGCGTAGACCTAGACACGCAAACTAGTTATGTGCCGAGATCTTTTTTATCAAAGAAGCAATTTCAAAATTTCGTAAATATTTGTTTATGCAACAACTCTACGGGTGTTTTTTTATGAAAAGACAGAAAGGAAAGTCTAGCACCACAGGTAGTGAAAGTTGTGAATATTCTGGGGCTTAAAATCGACATTGATAAAATACGTTTTCGGCTCCGTCTTCCTAAAATTTTTTACAAAAATATATCAGCGTGGACGAGGCTTGTGGTATTAATACGAATTATTTGTATAAAAAAAGCAACACTAAGATATAAAACTGATAAGTTAGTCTAAAAAAGAATATTAAATATAGCGATTTATTTGCGCTTTTTATATGTAACAGTATTGAACAAATTCAATGTTGTTCTTCCAGATAAACAAACGAATGTTATTACGGAAACCTTACACAGAAACAGGACATCTAGTAAGTGCTCTCATCTTAAGACTTTTTCACTTTGTTATCCCGACTACTTTAACCTGGCTATTTGGCTTTCTTCCGTTAGAACTATGTTGAGCTATTTCTTACGTACTAGGGCCTAAACTCGTAAGCATACTACGTTATACTATCTCATACGTCTTAAAGTTTTATCCCGTAGGTGTAGGTGTAGGTGTCACGTAAGCACTACGTAAACCTTTACGTTAAGGCTACATCCCTTATAAGTACTACTTTCTACTGTGCATTACATTGAAACTACGTTACGTGTATTACGTTATGGAGTTACGTTTTGAGGTTTCTTTGTTACTGATTACGGTTACGTAATTCCTTTATAACTATTGATGTGTTAATGCATGTCCTGACTAAACGTCCAAGTAGTCACGTACCAGATTGTAGTCCATTCTCTTTGCTTGTTTTGGTAAAATAGATATTATTGCTAGTTTGACCTTTAATTTGATTCAGTCTTTTCGTTTTTCTGGCATGTAATTCAAAAGACTATGAAATGCCCAAAGAGCATAAAATAAGAGCCAATGGACGATTTTACCGATCAATTCTGTGTGCATTTGAATGGRTGATAATTTTTTCAGTAAAGTTAAAAGATACCTTTGAACATTCAAGTCTACGTGCATGTCGCGAAATGGGCGTTTTCACTGAATCTGAAAATATTCTTTGACCAATCAAATCTATGTACACTATGATACTTCGACCGATCAMACTTGAGCCTCGCTGCACGTGTCTGCCCACCCTTCCGTTACTGCTTTACCCTTCATTCGAGCCTGCATCATTACAGAATTACAGCTTTATTGTGCTCAGGGCTCCCATTGAAATCAGATGCACATGCAACTTATGGGACCATAGTGAGCTTTATAATAAATAAAGGTTTATTCATTCATTAATTGTAAAAAAACAGTTTTTATAGATGAATACAATTCACCTGAGGGGCTATCTTATAGGCCCAGTGTGCACCATTATGCTTTAGGGGCCGTGAGGGCCTGGAGGCGGCCATTTTCARTTTACCGAAAGTCTATAAATTGTACTGTGTGTTTCGAATCTTTGAGCATCTCACTTTTCTAAGCACTTTAAACGCTAATRTAAGAGTTTTCAACCATCTGAAATTTGTTTTATGGTGATATTTGGATACTAGAAGTATTTTGGTGTAAATCATAATAACAGAGGCGCGCAATGCATAATGGTGCAAACTGGGCCTTTAATGTTAATTTTTTTTACTTCACGAAAACCAACACCACAACTTAGTCTGACCTTTGTACTGTAGGTACTTCGTCGAAAGAAAGTGATGATCTTGACAGGCTAACCGATCCATCTAACATACCAGTATCTCAAAACTACAATGGAGTTACGGTCTCATTACCCATAACTAAACAATTAGCTGATAAAATCATCAATAATTATAAGATTAATAAGGTAAGTAATGTATCGGGCTGTTTGTGGGCTTCCTTTGYCGCCTATCAGGAGAGAGGTACGGGGAAAATGGGTACAAGGGAGTTTTTAATGCGGCTTTTTGTTAAAATCAAATATGGAACATTTTATCAAATTATTAGTACAAAAAGCAAGAATTCCTTGCACCTACTATCTTAATGTCTTGATATAGAGCATGTAGTAACTTAGTATTCTGACAATTGCAGCCTCTCCATGTAAAGTACGTCCTTGTTATTCTTCGAGAAGCCAGGGAGAGATTCAAAGCTCTTCCTAACGTTAACAGAGTCACCACAAGTATTGCACGACAGATGACGATATGCGGTAAGARGTCATCAGACACCAGGCTCGTACCCTGTCGATATTACTCTAGATTTTGTTTCGCTAACCCCGAAGGTYTTTCTTTATCGGTGAATGCGCGACGCCAACGAGTCCCATTTAGAGTGGACCCCCCTCGAGTCTGATGTGACACTCTGATTGGTTAGTATWGGTTTGTCGAATCGACTTTCGCTGCTGTGGTTCGACTAGTCACGGAGTAAGACAGAGAATTTGACTGCGTTTGTTTGACGTGTGGTCTCCGTATGACATGAGATTGTATGCTCATTTATCCTCCCTCGACAAAAATCACAATGTGAGTGGTGTTGTCCAACCCCCTGGATGAAAATTTAACGTGATTTGTCACTATATATAGTTGTCTGTAAATGAGAAAAWCTCACTAATCACGCGACGTTTAGTGGTTTCTTGTTGACATCGAATCATTAACAGAGCGTCTGTTGAAAAAAATATTGTTTTTTTTTATGCGGTGTTTTTGTTTCCAGGCGATCTTCACGGAAAACTAAGTGACCTTTTCATCATATTTTCCAAAGTGAGTATGATTACTTCCTGGAAATTGATTACTGGAAAACGTTTACTGGAAATAATATACAAGAAATGCTGTACTGGGAATTATCTTTGATGTTTTTTTTAGTCATTTGTAACCCCAATATGGCGGTAACGAAATCACGATATATATAACTATACAGCCTTTTGCAAAAATTATGAGAATTGTCGAAATATCTAAATATCAAAATATCGACTGCATGATGGGTAATCCCGCACGATGCCCTTAGTCCCTTGTCTTTGTAGTTTAGTTTTTTTTTTTTGGAGACAGACTTATCCGTAGTTCTGAACATTTTCTCGATGTCAACAATGAATTATTCTAGCAAAHCCGCGTGTTCCGAACAATATATGGATATGGATATTATGATATTTAGATATTTWGACAATTCTCATAATTTTTGCAAAAGGCTGTAACAGCTCCAAATTTTAAAATAATCAATATTCCTTTTTAGAACGGCGTTCCTTCAACTGAAAATCCTTACATTTTTAATGGAGATCTTGTAGACCGTGGACCACGATCGCTAGAAATTCTTATTATTCTGTTCACCTACTTCATTATCTATCCCAATGGAGTCTACATTAACAGAGGAAACCACGAAGATCATATTATGAATATGAGGTCAGTCTCCTGTAAAATGAGTCGATACTTTTCTCAAATAAAAAATTACCGTGACTTGCTTTACAGGGCTACTTGAACGAAAATTGCGACAGATTTCAAGAAGATATTGATACAAATCCTTAATAATTCAGGCAAAAAATGTTGGAGTAAATGACGTCATTTACTTCATCCATTTGTTCTTCCATCTTTTGAATCAAAATGTTTCTGATGTGGGATAATTCCAAAAGAAATATTTTCCCGCAATCTTTTTTAATAGATATAAATGAGTCATATATTTGCATTGCTTGAAGTTTTGAAATAAGGGCATTTTCATGCAAGTAACACTTTACATAAGACAGTAAATGTTCTGAACTAATGTAKAATTATCATCCATGAATTATATTCAAATGCAGACTACTAATATTGAATTTTTTTTTACAATAGATATGGTTTTATCAAAGAAATCTCAGAGAAATACAAAGAACACTCAAACAAGATCATTAAGTTGCTTGAAGACATCTTTGGTTGGTTACCACTAGCAACAGTTGTCGACCAGAAGATTCTGGTTACTCATGGCGGCGTATCCAGTATCACTGATTTACGAGTTATTGAACATATTGACCGACACAAGGTAACAATGGTCAGCGGCAACACCTTTTACTATGTCCTATTTCAAAAAAGGTTGTCGGGTAAAATGGCGGAGATTCCACGACCGAAAGGATCCATGGGTTTTGCGGATAATTGAGGGGAAATGATAATTGAATAACTGTGGTAAACATATCCTTTATTTGGTGTCCATTTTCACGCAAAATTAACCCAAGTGAGATTTTGTTTATCAACAGCGTAACCATAGTCCTTTTCTGTCATGCAATCWCGTTCAGCGTTTTCAACAGACAACGGTTTTTGAAATAAGTGTATACACGCACCTATCATATAAGGTTCAATTGCTTTATCCATTGTAAATTGTACAATAGACTCAATAATCATTGTTGTCCGATGTTTGTATTACAGTACGTATCGGTCCTTAAACCATCGACTTTTAGCGGAAAAGAACGGCCAGATAACGCAGCACTCAGGGAGTGGAGGCAGGTTAGTAAAATAAAGCAAAAAAAAGATTGATTAATTGATTGAATGATTGATTGACTGATTAATTGATTGATTGATTCATTGATTGATTGATTGATTGATTGATTGATTGATTGATTCGTTGCTTGGTTGATTGATTGATTGATGGATTCGTTGCTTGCTGGATTGATTGATTGGTTGCTTGCTTGTTTGACTGGTTGATTTATTGATTGATTCGTTGCTTGATTGATTGATTGATTCGTTGCTTGATTGATTCGTTGCTTGGTTGGTTGATCACGTTATTTATAATAGGTTCTAGACTTGCTATGGAGCGATCCAAAACCAAACTATGGCTGCAAACCCAATACATTTCGTGGCGGAGGTTGCTACTTTGGACCTGACGTCACGGACCAAGTCTTAAAAAGACACGATTTTGATCTGTTGGTCAGATCGCATGAATGTAAATACGAAGGATATGAATATATGCACGATAACAAGGTATGTAGCAGGTACAAAATGACATTGTCTGGTCTTTGGCCGTTATAACGGGGTCGCCATAAGGCGGGGCCTTATTCTATCTTGGGTAATCTGAYTATGTAGCAGGTACAAAAAGATGAGACTTGTCGGTCGAACCTCGCTTATGCGGCCAGTGAAGGGACATTGAACAGTGGCCGTATTAACGGGTTGGGCGTTAACTGAGCAGAAAATGTTTAATTTGCCGGACATGAAAATTTGGTTGTTATAACAGGGTTGCCGTAATGGCTATATATACATACTGATCGAATCTGGAATATTTTACTTTAAATTTCAAATACAACAATAACATAATTGTTAAATCTGACTTGTCCATAGCCTTCCACGTTTTTCATTAATTTTCCGTAACTTGGGTTTTGTATTGTGAGGAAATATTGTGAGAGGGGGTGTACGCATTCTAAAAAGAGCGTGTATTGACGATACGTTTGATTGACAGGTTGTCACTATATTCTCAGCGTCCAACTACTATGAACAAGGTAGCAATAGAGGTGCTTACATGAAAATCAAACAAAATGAGAAACCATACTTTGTACAGTATCAGGCCTCCAGTAAAGACAACAACCTGACTCTTAGAAGAAGGTAAGAAGTAACGTTAACGCATTAAAGCGTTGACAGACAACACTTGCTCCTGCTATTGACGACACTTTGTGTTTACGCGGGACACCTYGCTATTTTACGCACAAGATTAAAAAAAAGATAACCGAATATGTTTCTGCGATTACGGACACCTTGCTTTTACGTACATTCGCTCTTACGTACACATTGYCTGTACTTTACTCCTTACGTACACCTCGCTTTTACGTAAGCCTCACTCTTTCGTACACCATGCTATTACGTACGATTTCCTCTTACGTACACCTTGCTTTTACGTACATATATAAGGGATCCGCCTTCTTACGTACACCTGTCTTACGAACAACTTGATTTTACGTGCATCTCGATGCTACGAACATCAATTTACCGGTGCTGAGGTGTCCGGAATAACGAGGGTTGTGTTTAATCTATTTATTTTATATCCAGAGTGAGTATTGTTGAACAATCTGCGATTAAAGAACTAAAAGAGAAACTGTACGCCAACAAAAATGCATTGATGGAAGCATTTCAAGAGGTCGACAAAGAAAATACAGGTTAGACTTACTTTTTATCAATGTTCCTGTTGTACAAAATAAAGAATAAAAACCCTACGAGGATAACATGCTCATAATTTTGGTAAATAACACGCCACATGGATACCAACCCTCCTAAAACATTTGGTCGATCAATCCCCACAAGGGTACCCTCATAAACGTTTGTGACTGTTGCTAGGTTGCCTATTACCAAGTCAGTGGGCAAGTATCGTAGAGAAGACTCTCAACCTTGATGTACCGTGGAACATGGTTAAACATCAGTTAGTCCGTGTTTTACCCGATGGACGAGTTGACTATGCTTCTTGTTTAGAGCAGTATGCCATTGAGAGTAAAACGAAACGGGTATGTGTTTGTGAGCGGTCTTTACACTAATGACGTCACGTGTGTTTTCCGAAGTGCATCATGGTATTGATGAAACTATCAAGATGGCAGATAAAAAATTCAGAGGACGAAGTATTTTGCGAACTTTGCTTTATCCGTTATTCAAAAATGCTTAATCTTAAATAAAATACAATTCTGAGAATTCAGCAATGCTTTTTGTTTGCAAAACAGCATCAGTGAAATGCCTGAAACAATCGAAACACAACAGCATGACTTCACTTTAGACATTCCTTAATCCCATAATGCACCTCGCTGAACGTGGCATGACGTCATTAGCAGAAGAAAAACTGTGCTTGTTTTTTTCTCTCGCAGTTTCATATAACGCAGCTTGCTGAAGCATGTATAATTATGATTTAATGCAATTGCTTCTGATTACAAAACTGACATGGTTTAATACAATCTCCTTGTTTTCTTCGATACTTGTAGAATGGTCCCAGTATAACCGAGGCTTTGTATCGAAATAGAGCTAATTTAGAGACGATATTTAGAATGATGGATAAGGATAATTCAGGTAATTTATATGATTATAATAAGTTAGATTTTGATTTAATGTAGTGAAATTGGTAGGAGCATTARGATGCCTTTTACACGCATGCTCTTGTAGTATTTGCTGAGCTATCCCACATGGTCTACTGATCGTTTAATAGTACACAGTAATTTCGCAGTAAGGGATGTGTTTCAATGTTATATAAAAACTGTTGTTTATTTTAATCCATAAAGTTCCAGTAAATGTATCGCTTGGACATCCCATAATATATCTGTAATTCAAGATGGCGTCGCCGATTTCTAAGATTTTCCATGAAGTTATGAACGATWTGTTTTTGCGTCAACAGGTCATGTATCAATGCAGGAGTTCGAGGAGACTTGCCGACTCTTAAACCAGCACAGTCATACTAAGATATCTGAAAGTTCCATCAAAGATCTTGCTTTAAGTATTGACATGGACAAAGATGGTGTTATTGACTTTAATGAATTCCTGGAAGCATTCCGACTAGTTGACGTTTCGACATCGCCCAACGGTTATACAAATCATGAACATCGCGCAAGTGACCCGTCGTATTCTCCTAACAGATCTCCTGTCATAATGAACCAGAGACTGTAACGTTCGTTTCCGTTTACCGTAAAAATGCAAAAGTTCGCGTGACTTTTGTATCTCGACGAAAGTTTGCGTGACCACGCTTAGAGATTGCGTGATAAAACTAATAGATAAAGCAATCTTATTAATTTATTGATTTTGTAGAATCTGTAYATATATATATTTGTAAATAGGTTTTCAGATAGCATACAAATATTTACTATTATCACAAGCGTTTATAAAACAACAATTTTCTATATCTAAATATAATATTCATTCCGCTAAAAATGTATACAATCGCTCAAAGATAAAACCAAAGATATTAAAATTATCTTCAGTTTAAGTTGATATATCACACGAGATATCTCCTTTCTCGCTCCGCCCCAAACCCCTTCGAGAGAGCCTGATACTCAGGCTAATTGTTATAGGGTAGAAATGACATGGGATTAGGGATCAGCGATGTATTGGAGATTAGAGTGACTTGGAATAAGAGTCATTCGATCATTCAAAGTAATCAGGGATCAAATTAACGTTATTTCGGGGGTGAAGCCCTATCACATTTGAAGGATAGGGGACACTCCAAAAAGACCCTATGACATCATCGTTACTAGCCAGGCTCTCTGAGGAGGTAAAGCATCCAGCAGTTGSGTTTTATTGTTTTATATTCTTTGTTTCTCTTGTGTTCTATTTTCTTTTGCTATTGATTTGACTTTGCAGTTTATATTTTATTCAGTGTTTGTCTTTATTTTGAGAGCTTTGTTACTAACTCGTTTTGTTAAAGAATGGCCCAGRAGTGAAGGTATAATTGCTCAATACTGTACAATTTTATAACGTTAAATGTGGGGAAGTGTTAACTATCTAGAGCTGGTTGCATGAGAGCATGAATCTTTCTTAATGAATCTGAATCTGTCTACTATTTTTACATGTCGATAATAAAAACGCCCCCTATTCATTTTCAATAGGGGTCTGAGATCCGGAGCTAATACAGACATAACCAGCCAAASACGCTGATCTCTACATTGTTCAAGGCTAGATTTTGTTATCGTTTTGATTTCTAAATCTGATCTTCGAATCAACTTTATTTGAAACCGTATAAAACCGGCTTAACAAACTTGGGAATACTGGAGATATACTGATGGCAATGAGGGGGCAACGTTTGAATGACTACATAAAACTGGCCTTGGTTTTCAGTTTTGCTGTGTGCTGTGAATCAGTGAAYATACTYTCAAAAGACAATCTACATTTCAAGTTTATCAACTTTTTCCATAAGCCTGGCTTAGCTCTAATCGATAGTTTAGTGGCCAATGTCAATGTTACAGATCTTACATCTTGTCAGATTCACTGCGTCGACCACAAGGACTGTTTGTCTATCAACTTTGGCAACAAGACAAACCACAACGATTTCGTCTGTGAGCTGAACAATTCGACAAGTCTAGCGAAGCCGGATAAAGTTAGAAGACGAAAAGGATTTGAGTTTTATGGACCAGCTGTAAGTATACGCGAACAAATCAAATGAATGTAATTATCTTAATAAGGCCAGATTATTATTATTACGATTGAACTTAATTCTATGCATTTTTCTCTTATAATCAAACTTCAGGGAGCTTTTAAGTCAATATATTTAGTACCAAAAGGTAGTTCAAGGCCGAAAAAGAAAAACTATGTATTTTTAAAAACACAATGTGTCAGCTAGAAATTTAAGAGATTGATTAGAAAGGCCATCAATCACCCTAAAATGTGTTGCATCATGTGACTCCCTTGGAGAATCTACAACAATAAAGAAATCAGTTAATCTGCGGGAGAAATACCGAAGCCTGCGATCTAAGACCAAGCGCTTACTGAAAGAAAGTAGAGACAAG